TTGTAGGCAGGGCCAGGGGGACTTTATGGCTGAAGGGAGCTCAGCCGGTACTGACACAGTGGTGTCGCTGCCCTGCCTTGCCCTGACAGGGGAACCTCTCTCGGGGAGGATCATCACCTGCGTGACTCCATGGACCCTCTGCAGCACCTCCCTCTCACAGCAGCCCCAGCAGGAGGGTAGCAACTGATCTCAGATGAACAGCCAGAGGCACTCGAGGGAAATGGAGACAGGGTTGGACAGTCTTGGGGGACAGTGGGGAATGTGAAACGTCCTTCATTGCTACTGTCACTTTCCTGGCTATTTCTGTTGTGCTTGGTCTCTCACCCTGCCTGCTGCTCACCTGGCATTTGTTTTGATGTTCATAGAATCATAGAATCAACAGGGTTGGAAGAGACCTCAAGGATCATGGAGTCCAACCCTACCATCATCACTAGATCATGGCGCTAAGTGCCACATCCAGTCTCATCTTGAAAACCTCCAGGGATGGTGAATCCACCACCTCCCTGGGCAGCCCATTCCAAATAAGCCCATGTTAATAAGTAATTTCAAAGAAACTGCTACTCAATAAAAAGGCCAGCTTTGCTTTAGATGTTTAAACTGAGAAAAAGAGGTGACCCCCTTTAACCCAGATCCCCAGAGCCAAGCCCAGCTGTCGCACAGGGACAAGAGGCAGCTGCGTCCCTCACCCCTTGCCTGGCAGCCACCGAAAGGGGAAATGCCGCAGCGGAAACTGAGATGTGGAGCCTCAGTGCGGAGGGAAGGTTGGGAGGCCTCCCCACCCCAGCAGAGAGAGCTGCTGCCAGATCAAAAGCACAGCCACAAGCAAGAGCGAGAGAAGAAAACAAAACCACACTGCATGAAAGAGGCACAGGGGAAGGAGATGGCCTGCTCTGCACCCGGAGCAGTTGCTGAGTTTGGTTTTTTTTTTTGGTTGTTTTGAGTTTTTTGAATTTCAGTTTCCCCCTGTGTCATGCCAGTGTCAGCCTAGGGAAGAGTCTTCTGCAGCCATCACCCACTGGGGCTCAGTGCTGGAGTGAGCGAGGGGCTGCCAGCCCTGCTCCCAAGCAGATGTTCTCCAGGCCTGGCTTGGTCCTGCAGGCATCATTCCCCCGAGCAAGACCATCCACTACCTCAGGTCTCCTTTTCTTATCCCTCAGAGAGGCAGAGATCATTAAAATAAGTCAAGAAGGAAATTAAACCAGTTTAATAAGAGGGGGGAAGTTAAAATGAAATGGAAATCAATGTTCACTTGGGAGGCAGCCCTGCTCCTCCGTCGCTAGATGTGCTAATAAATCAAGTATGCCTGGACTGTTTCTGGCACAGAGGCCAGCTGGCATGAGATGGTCTGGGCTATTAAACTCACTTAACCTCCAAAATGAACTGGCCACATGCCAGTTACCTAATGGGAGTGGTCCCTGGCCCATGCTAACACCTAAATGCATCCTGGGAGTTGCTCGGGAGAGCAGGAGTTGTCCCAGGCCAAAAATGTGTCAGGAAATGTACTAGCAATTTAACAGGACTGATGAGTATGTTCCAGTGCCTGGGGACATTCTGTGACACCACTTAATTTATGAGTACCACCACAAGATACAGCTGGGCTGCCTGTAAGGACGATGCTGGTCGGCTACAGGCATCTGCTAATGAGAGCAGCTTGCTCAGTTAACACAGCAGAGCCTCACTCAGCGAGATCTGTAAACTCCGGAGTAGCACTGCCTGTGATCTGGCCTGGAGGGATACAGAAGGAGATAGAAAGACAGGGGGGAAATAGCAAGTAGCATGTATGAGAATTAGAAATAAACAGGGAGAAAGGGAAAATGTGTAAAAGAAATACTAGCTGAAGGCAACCCATTTTCCCCACTGACTTGCAACATGTAGGTGGTAACATCGCACTGTAGAGATCTGCCACAGATAAACAAAGTTTAGTGTGAACAAAGTAGGAATGAAGAAGTTGTGAAACCATGAGAAGAAGCAGAAGAACAAAGATGCATTAATCTGCACCTATCAAGTAGCACAAGGTCAGCAATTCACTGATACCATGGTGCTCTGGTTCTGTGGTTTTGCTCAATAACCAAGTAGCAAGAAGGTAAAGAACAAACTGAAGCCATATGACAGGAAAATACAGATTCCCAGTCAAAACAAAATGATGGGGTGTGACTCTGTGATTTCATTAATTTTTGCTTGTTCCATTACCTTCAGGTTTTATAAAATGTTCAATGATTTAAAATATTTGAAACCCAGCATTGATCCTGTGAATTTGTAGCTATGACTGTAGAGTGGGGACTGACTTTTCCTGTTCACCCCACAGGAACAGGTCATGTAGGTTTTCACAGCAGGATGAGGTTTCTTCTGTCATCTCAGGAATGGATCTTACTCAGGGCCCTGCGCCAGTTCCCAGTTGTCAATGTTCCTTCGGAGTGAGACGCATATAGATGCCTTGTTAGTGCCCCTTTCTTCATTCTGTAGCTTAACCCAGCAAACTGCTTCATCACTGCTTCTGCATCTTGCTATGAGTGATCTCCAATCATATGCGCTCACTCCTTTGTTTTACTATTTTCACAGAAAACAGCTCATGCAAATATTCCCGGGGGCTGGGATGGGTTTTTTGCTTTGCACGAGGCAAGCTACAAATCTCCTCTGACTGTGCCTTTGCCATCTATTTCTATTCTGCTGGTGCACATGGCTGCTGTCTTGCTCTTGCACATGTATTTTCCATGTGTGCATGAGTGTACACCTGTGTAAATACCAGACTGTCAGTCATGCTGACCAGATCTTTATGTAAATGTAGTGCCAATGTTTTCATCTACTCTTTGATAGTTTCATGTGCTCTGATCATTTAAATTAATTTCGGTATAAATCACCTTCTAATAGAATATGTTATACTTAATATTGCACATCACACATATAAATACTGCATAAAATTATTCATGCATTTCTTTTGAGTTCAATCCCATTATGACTCCAACCTTCAGTCTGTCACGCTCTTGGCATAGAGAGTGCCTGCTTTCAGAGCAGTGAGGTCACCTTACTGGCTTGCACACTCCCAAGAGCAGTTAACCTGCTTGGCTTCCTTTATGTGATATATGCCTTGGTTTAGATATGGAGAACTCAGTAGTCTTCTTGCACCAGCAGCCATGGTGCCCTTCACCTTGTCAGCCCACCCAGCTGTAGCTGCTAGCAGTGCCTGGTCTCTGCCACAGTCAGATACCTCATTTAATTTGATAACTTACCTTAACACAAGTGCTAGCTCCCAGTTCTGACTTAAGGTTTCATTGCCACCAATGCTGCTTCTGCTTTCGGTCCTCATTCCTCCCTTCTCTCCATACTTTTCATTGAATAGTCCTAAGAATTCAAGCATTTCCAACATCAGGCTTGCTGCATATTGAGATCCTCAAAGTAAGAAATAAGTAGAAAAAACCAACAACAATGGACAAAAAGTATTAATAACAACCTAAATATGGCCGTAATCATATAATCACAAAATCGCACAGAAATATTTAGATGGTAAAGGGCATTGAAAAGTCTCCAGTCCAATCTCCTGCTCACAGCTGAGTTAACTCTGAAACTACAACACATTGCCTGGGGTCTTGACAAAGGAACCTCCGAATGTTTCCAAGGGTGGAAATTGCCTGGCTTCTCTTGGCATCTTTTTCATTGCTGAACCACCTTCAGTGAGAAGAAAGTTTTCCTTCTATCTCGTCAACATTTCCTTGCTGCAACCTACAGCTTCTGCCTCCTGTTCCTCTCCTGTGCACATCTGAGAAGAATGTGGCTCCTTCTTTTAAGTAATACCTTTTAGACAATGGAAGACTGAAATGAGATCCTGCCTTGGCTTCCTTCTCCCTACCAAATACAGTTTCTGTCTTTCCCTGTATTTCATGTGCTTCAACCTCCTCACCATCCCACTAGTCCTCCACTAGACTCTGTACAGTTTGTTGGCATCTGTCTTGTACTGGGGGCCCAAAACTGTATCCTGTATCCTAGATGAGACCTCAGGTGTTCCCAAATAGAGGGAAATAATTACTTCTCTCTACTTCCAGCAGAGCTGGCTGTGCTTTTGCTAAGGCAGCCCTGTATGTGTTTAGCTTTAATCTCTGCAAGAGTGATGATAACCCACCACAGAGAAGTAAAAAAGCACAGAACTCTTGGCAATATAAACAGCTGCAGCTTGATGAATGCCAGAAACCTAGGGATGAGTAAAATGAAATGTTTATTACCAAACTCTAGGGGCACACTGCAGATGGATTCTCTGCTGAAACACGGGGCTCTAGTGACTTTCCCCTCTACTCTGCTCTCATGAGACCCCACCTGGAATACTGCGTGCAGTTCTGATGTCCTCAACATAAGAAGGACATGGAACTGTTGGAGCAAGTCCAGAGGAGGCCATGAAGTTGATAAGAGGACTGGAGCACCTCTTCTATGAGGGCAGGCTGAGGAAGTTGGGGCTGTTCAGCCTGGAGAAAAGAAGACTGTGTGGAGACCTCATAGCAACTTTTCAATATCTGAAGTGGCCTAAAAGGGAGCCAGAGAGGGACCCTTTGTTAGGAACTGCAGTGATAGGACAAGGGGTAATGGATTCAAACTGAAGGAGGGGAAGTTCAGGATAGATGTTATAATAAGGGTGGTGATATATTGGAACAGGTTGCCCAGGGATATGGTAGCTGCCCCCACCCTGCTGGTGTTCAAGACCAGGCTGGATGAGGCCTTGAGCAACCTGATCCAGTGAGGAGGTGTCCCTGCCCATGGCAGGGGAGGTTGGGACTAGATCATCTGTAAGGTCCATTCCAGCCCTTAAATTCTATGATTCTATGTCTTTTTCAATGACCTTCCACTTTGCTGTGCTGAAGGATGGTGGGAACTGACTGGGAACATGGGTCTCATCCACCAAGGTCTGAAAATCAACATTATTAACAGAGTATTTGGGTCTTCCAGGATAGCATCCCTTGGTGGCAACAGCATTGCCAGCCCTACCGCTCATGGCTGGGAGGAGAACTCCCACAGCGATGAAGTCACGTGGCAAGGTGGTGAGCAGCACGCTTGCTGTCTTCTTGGTTCTGCATCTGGGTGAGTCCTCACCTCAGCAAACCCTCATGGTTTTGACAGATTTTTCACAAGGTTCGCAGCATTTGGGGTGTTTCTATGCTCCTCCCAATTTGCCATATAACATACCTCACACGGTTTAGCTTTGGGACTCAGGTTGTTCCCTGGCTCACCTGCTGAGCCTGCCAGACAAAACCAGGGTGCATCACCAGGTTTGGGGACCTGCCCTGTAGAGATGCAGGAGTGAGGTTCCTGTGAGAGCCAGGATGCACACCAAGCACAGAGTGGGAAATACTGCCCTCCACACTGTCTCCAGCTGTCTGGGCAAAAGTGTGTGTTTCTCATCACAGATTTCCCCTTACAAATGTGATTCTACCAGCTTGCTTAGTTTCCCATCTATAAGGGTCAGAAGGAGGATCCAGGGAACTACAGGCCTGTAAGCCTAACCTCAGTTCCAAGCAAGGTCATGGAGATCATCCTGAGTGCCATCACAAGGCACATGCAGGGCAACCAGGGGATCAAGTCCAGCCAACATGGATTTATGAAGGTAGGTTCTGCTTGACGAATCTGATCTCATTCTATGACAAAGTGACTCACTTAATGGATGAAGGGAAGGCTGTGGATGCAGTCTATCTGGATTTCAGCAAGGCATTTGACACTGTCTCCCCCAGCATTCTTGTAGAAAAACTGTCTGTTCGTGGCTTGGACGGGTAGACTCATTGATGGGTAAAAAACAGGCTGGATGGCTGGGCCCAGAGAGTTGTGGTAAACAGTCCAGTTGGCAACTGGTCACTGGTGGTGTTCCCCAGGGCTCAGTATTGGGGCCAGTTCTATTTAACATCTTCATTGATGATCTGGACATGGGGATTGAGTGCACCCTCAGAAAACTTGCAGACATCACTAAGTTGGGTGGGAGTGTTGATCTGCCTGTAAGTAGAAAAGCTCTGCAGAGAGACCTGGACCGACTTGATCAGTGGGCTGAGGACAACTGCATGAGGTTCAATAAGGCAAAGTGCTGGTCCTGCACTTGGAACATGACAACCCCATGCAGTGCTACAGGCTGGGGGAGGAGTGGCTCAAGCGTTGTTTGTCAGAAAGGGACTTGAGAGTGCTGGTGGACAGCTGGCTCAATATGAGCCAACAGTGTGCACAGGTGGCCAAGAAGGCCAATGACATCCTGGCTTATATCAAGAACAGCATGGCCAGCAGGACTAGAGTAGTGATCATCCCCCTGTACTCAGTATTGGTGAGGCCACACCTTAAGAGGTGTGTTCAGTTTTGGGGCCCTCACTTTAAAAAAGTCATTGAGACACTGGAGTGAGTCCAGCGAAGGGCAACAAGGCTCATAAAAGGCCTAGAACATGTGTCGTATGAGGAACAGCTGAGGGAATTGAGTTTGTTTACCCTTGTAAAGAGGCGGCTCAGGGTGACCTCATCACTCTCTACAACTTCCTGAAAGGAGGTTGTAGAGAGGTGGGGAGTAGTCTCTTCTGCCATGCCTGCAGTGAGATGACTAGAGAGAACAGCCATAAGCTGAGACAGGGGAGATTCAGATTAGATGTTAGGAAAATTTTTTTTACTGTTAGGGTTATCAGGCACTGGATTAGATTGTCCGGGGAGGTGGTGGAGTCACCATCCCTGGAAGTGTCTGTATCTGACACTGGAGGGTATGATTTAGAGTTTAGAGGTTACAGCAGAGTGACAGGCTAATGGTTGGACTCGATGGTCTTAGAGGTCTCCTCCAACCTTGATGATTCTATGATTCTATGACTGCTAACAGCATAAGGTTTGGTGGATGTTTTAGTGCTCATTTTTCAAGAAAGGAAGGACAGTGAATAAGGCCTAGCCTGTGTTCCTCAGATACTCAGCTTTGATTCCGCTGGTTGCAGAGGAAAGGTTGAAAATATCTTATGCACCCTAGAACCAAATGAAAAGCAAAAGATACCAACCCTTATTAATAGCATTTCAGATTTCACAGATAAAGACAGAATCATAAGCTTCTGTGATCCAATGTGCAATTATTGAAAATCTGTATTGGCAATGTTGCAGGTTACATCTTGGAAAAAATATGCAACTTGTGGAAAAAGCTCCATTAAACTCATGTAGACTTTTTATTTTACACTTCTACGGCTCTCTAGTACCAGGGTCACCTGGGAGATCTGCAGGTTAGGCATCTCTAAGAGCTTTCCAGCAGTGAGGCAGCAGACCACAACCCCCTTATTACCAATATTACCTCTGGCAACTCCATCTCTTTCTTATGGTCTCCTGCAGAAATCCCCTTTACAGTGAAGGAAAGGAAGTGATTCTCCCAGGAAACCACTCCTAATGTTTCTTCAACCTTACACATCCTATTTCTTTTACTGTCACATAGCCCTCACGTCAAGAACAGGAACATGACATTAGGACAGCCTTCTTTATTTCTCTTTTACTTTATCTCTTGGTTTTCCTGGGGTTTCAGTCTTTCTCCATGCAAAAGCTGGAAGAAGGGGTGAGAAAATTTGCCAATGTTGCATCAAGTCTTTACTGGGGAGTGAAGAGGGGCTGACATGTGCTGTCCTGCCTTTGCTACCAGTAGAACAACTAAGTCTTGTCCAGTGGAAAAAGATTGCTTCAGTAAAACTGTTGACATTTCAGAATTGTGACTGATGGTCAGTCCACCGCAGCTGCTATTTTCCCTGTTTCTGAACATATGTGAAAGAGAATAGCCTTTAGCTGGGTAAAGAGTCTACAGTAGAAGGTAGAGAAGCTATGGAGCTGAAAATAAAAGAGATTGATTGATTGATTGATTGATTGACCATATAAAGGAGTGAAAAATTCAGAAATTGATGACAATCTTCCCAGTGTCTGGGAAAGGGAGGAGAAATATCTACGTCTTTCAGGAGAGATGAGGTGTTCACTGACCCACTCTTCAGAAAGTGAATGTATGCCTTTTTTGGGGGGGGAATTGACTTTCAGGTCTGATCCCCAGTATGGCTCAGCAAAATGAAGTACAGGTTGGGATCGTGGGACTGGAGGTGACCCTGATCTGTACAGGCCTGCCTCCTGGCATGGGCACAGGTCCCGGCACAAGAATGTCCTGGAAGCACAATGACGCTGTTATATGGCGTATTGAAAATAATAAAAATTGGAAAGGTAAGGCTTCCAATTCATCACCCCTTTTACCCATGTATGGTCAAGAAACCTCTTCCCTCCTAACCAAGCTTATTTTTCTCAAAGGATCAGCTGCCATGACTAGTCGGTCTGAAGTTAAGGGCCCACAAAAAACTCTGAAGGTGTGGAGCTTGAAGCTCTCCGATGCTGGTACCTACACGTGCCAATATGGTCCTCACAAATTCAGTACCTCACTGCATGTCTTTGAATGTGAGTGATTAGAGGGATTTTATCCATGAGGAGGGGAGCAGATCATAGAGCTCAGGGAGACATCTCTGCTGGGATTCTTTATCCAGCTGCCATTTCTTCTGGCTGGGCTATCATAGTTCATTTCTCCTCCATCTTCAGGGGGCAAAGTCTCCGTATTCTCTGTGCTGTAACACTTGCCCCTCTCTTGCAGGAAGAGGAGCTGACTTACCAGCTGTGCCTTTTTCTTTTCACAGTGAAAATCTCTTTGGATGGGCATTTTCTGCCAAATGAAGTCCCTGAGCTGACTTTAATGCATAACTCATCCGATTCTCTACCTGATCTCAGCATCACATTGTTTAACAGTAACAATAACATAGTAACACCAGCAGTACAAAGCAAGACCCGTGAGAAATACATAATGACTTTAAAGAAACTGGAGGCTGCAGACAGTGGGATCTGGGTGTGTCACATCCATTCAAACTCTCCACTGATTAATCAGAACATCTCCTTTGCTGTGAAGGTATTAGGTATGTGACAACAAACATACAGTTCACACACAGGCTCAGGAACCAGTGCTCCCTCCCATTCATGAGCTGAGCTTTTACTTTCCAGCACCACAAGCACTGGTGCTCCAGGGTTGATTACCAGGGCTTCCAACACTGCAGTTTGGGGATCACTCTGCTCTCTGAGCTCTGTATCACACTTGCACTCATTCTCCTCTCCAGACTTGGTGAGGAGAAGATCCTCTTCTCCTTGGGGTCTGTTCTTCTCAGCTCTGGTGTGTTTGGGTGCTTTGTCTCTTTTTACTGTCTTTTTCTCAGACACTGTTTAACCTTCCTGGGGGATGTTGTGGCTTTTCTCCAAGTCCTCTTTCAACTGAGCACAGAGTGCATCTCTCTAGATCAAGGGTAGACAAGGGGAAGCGTAATCCTGGCTTTCCCTGCCTCTGTATTCTTTGTCTCTTCTGAATTCAGGTTTTCAGAATCCAGATTTGGAAAGAAAGTATGCAGCTGTTGACAGCACTATAATCTTGTCATGGCATCTGAACTTCCAGAAGATAAAATGGAAAGAAGCTTTCACAGGACAACTGAAATGGAAAGAACAGAAAAGTACAAACACCCATGAGCTGCTTGATTTTAACATGACAGCACGAGGACAGAAGCAGGAGACCAAAAAAAGCAGCCACATTCTGTTTGAGACGCCTGAAAGTACCATAGGAGTGAAACTCCCTAAGGTCCATTTTAACCATTCTGGGCAGTACCAGTGCCAGTTGGCTTACAAAGGAAGACACGTGCAGAGCAAGATAGAGCTGGTGGTGATGAAAGGTGAGAGAAAGAGAAGTGGTTCAAGAGATGAGGACATGCAGAAACCTGGAAGCCACAAGAGCACAGATAGACTCATCTTCCCATCCTCTCACTCACATGTCCTTTTCTTGCCTTTACAGTCTCAACTAACCCTGTGGGGCCACTCTCCAGAGGACAAAATATGACCCTGATCTGCGAGGTCTCTCATACACTCCCATCCAATGCCCACTTGCGCTGGGAACGTGTGAATGGGACCCAGATGGACATCAAGAACTCCAAGCAGCATGAAGTAAAGTTGGAGGTGAACATCAGTGCTGCAGGGCTGTGGAACTGTCACATCATAGAAGACAATGACAGAAAGTTCAGCCTTCTTTACCACGTGGGTATGGAAGTTAGCGTCACGTCCCTACCTCAACCCTAAAGCCTTAAAATTCTCTTTGTTTCTGCATCTAAATACTTTTCTCCTTCCACAGAGGAAGCTCCTAGTTGGATTAGCTATGTTATAACAGGAGCAAGTGTTGGAGGCAGTGTATTGGTGTTTGCCCTTGCATGCCTGTGCATCATCAATGGTACAAGCTGGCAGCGGAGAAGGGTGAGTGCCCCGGTCCCTGTGAAAGGTGAAGAGATTACGGTCTCTCCAAACCACAGGAGGAGTCATATTTCCAGTCTGGGTGTGGGGCAGGGCAGATAAAGGGTCAATCCTCAGACTCAAAGCAAATGCTTATAGATGGACAGTCTGCAGCATTTTACTGCCTCTTCAGATGAAAGCATTTGAAGCATAAAAACATCCAATTGTTCTTTATCCCTTCTCTCCTGGCAGCAACGGGCAAAAAGGATGGCACTAGCAAGAGAATACTTGCTGGAAAACAAGACATGCCAGTGTCAACAGTAAGTGGCAATGAGGGTACCCAGAATGGGCAAGACAGAGGTGCTGGATGGTTGAGTGGGGAGAAATGGATATTGAGCCTCCTTGGTGAAATAATTGAGATGCATTTCAGCATTTTCAGGGCTTACTCATGTTAAACCCACCTTAAGAGTAATGAGCTATGTTTAATAGATATCCTGTTATATACCAAACCCATTGTAGCACTGTCCTGTGAAGGCTTGGAGCAGAGAGGTTTCACTTGAATTATCTTGATGTTGAGAGATGTTAGCCAAACCCAAGAAGGAGCTCCAAAGTCCTTTGAGAAGTTCCACAGTGAATCTGTGATTGGGATATCAAGGCTGTGGAGGGGGAAAGCACACAATCAAGCACAAGGATGAAATACAAATTTTAAAAGTCCATGATGTCCATAATGTATTTCCAGCTCTGCTAGCAGAGTGTTGGACTGCAGTCAGTGAAAACTGCCAATAGCCTCCCAGGGGTAATGAAGGAGTAGAAAAAATCACGGAACCCTGTAATTCGTACCCTTTCCTAAAGGCCTTGGCTGATATGAAATATACCATCATGTCCTGGCCTTTTTTGTGAGGGCAAGAATTTCTCAAGCAGAGAAGCTGCCCTTTTCCAGGTCTTTAAGCTTATATGGTGGTATCAGGCACCAGAAGCAGCTGTGGGAAACACTTGACAGCCATTCTGTAACTGGAAGTGGAGAGCTAAGAACAGTATAAATGATTGCATGAACAAATTCAGTGAATGTATGGGTAAAAAACTGGACTTCTGCTTAATTATCACTGGTGACATTGGCAAACTGTGATAGTTTCACCCAATTTTTTCATTATCACCGAGAATTCAGTGAGAATGGTTATTGGCAAATACTGCATCATAGCTGGGATGTATATATGGCAAAGAGAATAACATGTCAAAGAATTCACCTCGTTTTCACCTACCTTTTATCAAGGTTAAAAAATAATCCCTATAAAGAGGACAAAGTCCATACAGCTACATCAAAAACTAGATAAATCTGTGCAATGCAAGTGCTGATACAGTTGTTCTTTAACTCTCTTTGCCAAGTAAGCAGCTCAGTGTAACTGAAACCTAAACCACATCTCTGGATGCTCAAGTAATCATTTGCATCCTCAGCTACAGAGGCAGGCAGTCATTCCCTATGAAAAAAAGTGGGAGGCTGGCTGGCTGTAAGGCATCTGAGTAAAGCCTTTTGCCTTTACAATACTGATACTCACATAATACTTTTCTCTTGCAGCCGACTAAAAAAGTAATATTGCAACACTGGAGTCAGAAGGACTGATGAAGTCTCTGCCTGTACCTAAACACCTGGCAGCCTATAGTGCTTTGTGAATCTATCTTCTTTCCTCCTGTTTTAATGTAATTCTTTATTCCTTCATCATTCCCCCAGTCTAATGCCATGGAGGGATGTTTTCTGGCTGGGAGCTGATGGACAAGACAAGAAACCCTGAAGGGTTATGATTGATGCCCAGTTCTATAATGAGAGACACTGAATAGAAGATATATATACATATACATATACATATACATATATAATATGCTTATATTTTGCTCATGCACTTAATTTGACCTTCTTGTGGAACCAATTTTATGGGCTTCTTTTATCTTCCTGAGTGACAATAAATTACTTTAGGGTTGGGAGTCATTTTCCGCAAGCTGGACTACATTTTTTCTGAGGCACTCTTGTCTGGTTCAAACCTACATTTCTCCATTTCCTACAGGGATGTGGAATGCTGATTCTCACTATCTCCCACATCTCTAGCTGCCATGAGCCTTCCTTAATGCACCAGCCCTCTGCTCTCTGTGGAACCTGTCCATCCTCATTCGCTTTTCCTGGGAAATTTGAGCCCTACAGTACTCCCCATACCCATCCCTCAGCCTGTAGCTTTCACCTCTCCCACAACAAACTAACATACAAGTGAAAACACCACAATCAGTCTGATAATTCAGAACTAGTTTTATCAGGAGGGCAGCTCAGGATACCAAGAGCTTCTGGAATTTAGACCGTGAAGAAGTTGTGAATGTGGATATAGAAGGTAAGTTTGAGAAGGGGTTGAGAAAGTAATTTCTGAGGAGAGCAAACCAGCCCTGGACTGAGTAATCCCACAGAGGGCAGAGAACAGATGCTTCTAAGAAAGATACCGAAAATGTTTCTCACCAAAGTGATCCTTTTTTGGTTCAAGGAAATGAGAAGAGGGAATGAAAAGCCCAGGAAATTTAGGATGGAACTAAAAGCATGTTACAGAGATGACACAATGTCCTGAAAGAAAGATACTGTTAAAATACGTACGCAATATGTCTTGTGTTTATAGAAGTTATTCTACTGTCTGCTAGTGGTGGGTCAAAAAGTCCTTGAGGTCCTACAGCTGTCACTGGCTGCAGTCCAGGCTTGCTCATTTGCACTGGGCTTGCTGAGGAGAGGCACAGAAGGGCACTGGCCTGTGGGAAGACCCCCTCATGAGATGCTCAGTGCTGAAGGAGTGGATTTCTCTGTGGCAGTCACGCCAGTATGATGCTGTTATTGACACAGAATAGACAGGTGGCAGCAACGGCAGAGACAACACCTGTGAGCTGGGGGAAATCTTCCCCTCCACAACCCCATCTCTCCCCTGCAGTGGGGATGCAGTCCCAGGCAGCTGTGGCAGCAGGTGTGGGCCACCACTGGTGTCACGCCTGCTCCTCCACCATCATCCTCACACAAGCAGTGATGAAGGCCTGCACTAATGACATTTTCCTTCCCTTAGCTTGTGCTTGTGTGCACAAAGGCCTGGTCCATATCCTTGGTGCATGCAATTACTCCTTCTGCTCCTGTCCTGTCCTTGAACTGCCAGCTGCAGCCCATCAGTCTCCTAAACAAGGCATCATCATGGCTTAAAGATAGGTCAGTTTTGGGAGCTGTATGAAGAAAAATGAGTGCAACATCAGTGGTAGTTGATATAATGGTCATGACAAACTACTTGGTATAGTCCCCTCAAGCAAAACCAACCTGTTTCTTCAGTTTCTCATTAAATAACTACTCAAGTACTCACGTCAGAACCTTTTCTTTCACTCACATGGGTGTTCAGAGCAGAGGGATTATCCTGTACCACCTGATACCTGGGTGGGACAAAACATCATTCTGGATGAGCACCCATTCGGAGCTCCTCTAGCACTGTAGCCAGCTCAAGCAGTTCAGATGCTCACCTGTGGTTCTGGCAGCTGTACAAACCACCTCTGTACCAAAAACCACAGGTCTTGACTTTTTCAGAAAGAGAATCAGCCTGACAATAAAAGTCTAAGCTAATAGGGCTTAACTTGGCCTCCAGCACAGCGTCCATCAAACCTGACCTGTCCAGGATGAAACACATGAATAGCAGAGGATGCCAGCACTGGTGGTTCAGAGAGCACAGAGGTGCCTCAGCTGACTGACAGCACTGCCCACATCTGTCAAAGCCAGGAGGCAGCACACCTGCCCCAGCATAGTCCTGATCCCAGGCTAGCAGGCAGCAGTGCAGTCTCCAAGCCAGGCTGAGCCAAGCTGGTTCTCTCACAGGATGAGAAATGGCACTGTGTGGAAGTACGACTCTTCACTCAGCAATCCGTTTTCCTCTCTTGCAAGAGCTGCAGGAGGCACATTAAGCCCCCACAAGTGATCAAAGGTTGTGTCCCCATTCACGGCTGGGACCCATCTGCATGGAGTGGTCAAGCTTACACCTCCACCACTGATGCAGAAGGTTCCTCCATCTGTTTCCAAGTGGCCTGGTTAGCATTGTGGCAGATGTGATAGTGCCACTGGGATGCTTGTAAGCACATAGCCACATCCACAGGTGCACAGCTTCCAGGTCTCCCATCTGGATGAGTGTAACAAAAATGATACACCTTCCTCAACGCTGGACAGTTCCTCCACCAGTCTCAACAGCTGTGACCCTGCCCTACTCTATCTGAAACTCGACTGTAAGCACAAACCACTGTAGGCTCCAATCTTCTAAATCTCTGGTTTTTGGCTGCTCTCTTGTCTGTATCTTTTCACATGACAACCTTTTTTTGTTCCCTAGATGCATAGACTGCCCTGATTGAGAGAAAAGTCATTCACAGAGCGAGTACTAGGTGGGCTTTGTTTTCCATCTGAGTGCAATACTGAAAGCTTCAGTGTAGGCTTCAAGGCAGGACAGAGGTAGAGATTCAGGCCAGATAGGAACAAGCTTGCAAAAAATATGTTGATGTAGATGTAGCTGACAAGTCCCCAGCTGGAGTGGACTGCAGTAACATCTTTCCCAGGCCAGGGCTTTACATGCTGTCTTCCATGTCTTCTCAGGAGGCATTGAGGACTTCTCCCTTTGCTAGATGTGACGAGGGCATATCTACACTATGCAATGAAATAATGCCTCTGCAGAACACAAACCACAGTGATATACAACTTTACAAAGCAGCAAGCACAATGACAGACCTATTTTATCATGTGGTGACAGCTCATCAGAGTAACTCCAAGATGATGGCAGGACTCAGAAAGGCATATATGGCAATACTTACAATGGCAGCAAGAGCTCTCTGTAGTGATGTGGAAACATCACAGAAAGCACAAGTTTGGAAAAAAATACTAAGTGCTGTTTTTCCCTACCATGTTGATCTTTCTGGTACTTTCTGATCTTTCTATTGTTCTCCATGTTTCTGTGCTGCAGAAGGGAAGAAGCACATGCTTCAGTCCTTTGGACCCACCTCCAATGCTTGGTCCTCTGTCAGGACCCACAGACTTGCTTGGACACAGCTGAGGATATACTGCTCTATCCAGTTCTGCTGCTCTAGAAACACATGGGCTGAAATAACCCCAGCCCACAGCGCTACCTCCCCAAGCCCCTCCTGCTTCCCAGTTTATTTCTGCCCTTTGAGTGCAGCATGAGGCAGTGATTTGGTGGATGCTGTCAGCCCGGATCTGCCAAGGCAATCCATGTGACTCATGCTCCCTGCAGGCTCTGCAGCGAAGCACTCGCATCCCTCAGCCTTCAGAGCCA